TTTTTGTAACTTTCCTTTATTTTATTTGTTTCATTTAGTTTAATAAAATAATCTTTATACACTCTTTATGATAGAATGACATTCGTTAAATTTGAATTAAATATATTTTTAAATCATTTTCATTTATAATTTAATAACTTCATAATAAATTATTTCTATTTTTGTCTGCAATTTCTTTTATTATATAATATATAGTACTTCCTTTAATCAAGTGAAAAGTGAAGTTGTGTGTGAAAATGTAGAAATCAGTGATCGTGATTTCATATTTATACATTTGATTTTTTAATAGCTAGACAATTACATACTATCAATTCTAATTATAATGCAATCTATATATATTAATAAAGTATGATAAATAATTCTTTTATCACCTATCAATGCAAATGATGAAGGAGACACACCATAATCCAACATATTTAACACACTAGCATCACGTTCAAAATATTCCAACCCGTGCATTGTACGGTCAAAGACTAGTATTATACACAACCTCAAATATTTCATTTCATTTCAGTAGAAAAACAAATGAAGGAGATCGTTAATTGATCAAAAAAATTGAATTTGACAAAATATAAAAAGAGCAAATGGTAACTTTACAATTTTAATATAAAATAATTTAAAAATTAAATTGAAAAAGAAATAAAATGGATGCTTTTGTTATCTCCCACCCCCCAACTAAACCAAATCAATCCACAATTGTCATAGCCACAATCATCACACGTCGTCGTCTGTCACAATCACCTGTCGCCGCCTACCACTAATACTATTATACCATCAATCTCACAAAAACGAACATGCTCCGCCAAGTGCTCAACAATACTGAGCTCTATGATCTCAAATTCATCAAAATTATCGTTGATATGAATCTCAATCTTGGTATCCAATAACTCTTTACCCATTACAACATATTTTCTCGGCTCCAGATTTGGGAGTTTTGACAAAAGATTTCAAATGATCAATTTCTTTCGAAATTGGATATATGGATAAATTTGGGGAAATGGACAAAAGGGTTGTACCATTAACAATAGTCTATTGGATAGCGAATGCGATCCCAGACTAAACCTTGTTCATTTGTGCTTGGTCGAACCACGTTGTTGTTGACTGAATCTAAGAGGAATTTTTGGAGAGGCCATACGGTTTTGGACTATTGACAGGTTCATCAAAGGATTTTTGTGTTCTTGCCACCCACCTCAGTAATGGAGGAGGAGGAGGAGGTGGCTCCGAGTGGCTTAGTGGCATCTAGAGTATTACATATGTTATTGAAAAATGACATTTTTGCATTTAAAAATTATACAAAAGGGCAAACAGTGAGTGGGAGTTTTGGCGATGACAAGTGTGGGTTGAGTTGGTTTAGTTGAAGATGGGGAACGTATGAATGGGAGTTTGTGAAGGAGATTAGAAGTAGCCATTTTATTTCTTTTCTTCTTTTTTATTTAAAATTTTAAATTATTT